AGGATATTAAGTAAAGATCATGTTCCATGAAGATATTTTGTAAATTTCATACTGTAAATATATTAAAACTTAATTTTTGATTAGTAATATGCATTGCTAAGAACTTCATTTGGACAACTTTAAAGACGATTTATTTAGATTTTTTTTTTGCACCCTCAGATTCCAGATATTCAAATAGTTGTATCTCGGCCAAATACTGTCCTATCCTAACAAACCATACATCAATGGAAAATATATTTATTCAGCTTTCAGATGATGGATAAATCTCAATTTCGAAAAATTGACACTTATGACTGGCTTTGTGGTCCAGGGTCACAAATCATTTCAATTAACTTGATTATTACATCAAAGTCAGATTATGAAATTGCCTTTGTCCTACTAATTTAAACCGTCTAACCATACTGTAAGTACTCAATTGTTGCAATGCAAAATCGCATCTCATCCATGAACGGATTGCACAAAGTAACTGTGTGAACAAGAAATTCTGCACAAGAAAGTCTCTATTTTCAAACAGCACCATGCAAGTCAGTTTTAAAATAGGATTTTATTTTCCACAGATTGTATTTTGATTGAAGCATAGCCTCGAGCTTCCAGTGCAGACAACCTCACGCCGCTGGACGCTTCCAGTGTAAACACGGTGTTGCTGTTAGGATAATTGAAGCAGTCGTATTTATTTGATATTTTGCTCTTTTCCAGCTCTTGATCATTAAGTGCTTTGCATTCTTTTGGAGCAGTTTTGTAAGGCTAAACACAAGGGAATCATGGCAACCAAAAACAGTGGAACACGTCATATAGCATGTGCATCGAGTCAAAACAGACCCCCGTGCCAAAAACAACAAGCCGTCGTTCGCACACGACCAGACAGTGATCAATTCGCAAACTAAGGCGTACAAACGTGAAATAAAATCTTTGGCAAAAATGAAGTATTTACATTCATGAAAGCAAGACACCCTAATCGGGGAGACACGGGACAGTTTTCAGGGTGGCACGGACATCCTACTTAAACTAAAGAAGTGGGGGGAACTTTCTCTGCAAATCACAGTTAAAACACTGCAGTATTACTTTTCATCTAAATTTAATAAATGTTCAGAATGGGTCTGTGAATCTAAGGGAATTGTAGAGGATGCATAGGTGATGATATGGCTGGCAATACCTGACAGCGCCTCAGGATGGCAGTATGAAGCAATACTGAATTTTGCCTGAGAGAATCACTGCGAGCGGCCAAACGAGTGGGTTTTACCGAGGGCTGAACACTGGGAGGGACGTCAAAATAATAATAATACAAAAATAAAGATGCTTCCTTACTTTTCTTTACACAAAGCCTCTTGCAGTAAACATATCAGCCAACTCACTGTTAAATACAACCCAGCGCTGGGTAAAATATGGACAAACCCAGCGGTTGGGTTACTGCCCAGAAGGTTGGGTTAAACATGTAACCCAACTGTTGGTTGAAAATAACCCAATCGCTGGGTTTGTCCATATTTAACCCAGCATGATATGCAAAAGCGAAGTCTATGTCGATCTAAAGCTAAAGGAAAACTACGTGAGAAAATATCCAATAATGACAAGCTTTCCAAATACATACACTTTACACCATATATCATAGATTTTGAAATATTAGCCAAAGTAAAGATTATTTCTTTTGGAGGCTAATCTTTATGTAGACTATACAATATATCTATGGGTAAATGAGTTAACATGGAGCAAAACAAAAGTAGCAAAACCATAATAATACAATAAATATTCAGTAATATCACTTTTTGTTGTATTTTATATATATATATATATATATATATATATATATACTTAGCTTACTTTGGGGTAGAATGATAGTGTGAGTGTGTTTGAAGCGAGGCATAGAGATACAGTGACAGATCCACACCTTACTGCCAGATACACAATGATACACACTCAGACCTGAAGAGAAGAGAGCACAGCAGCGGCTCATGGACGCTAACAACTAAAGGAGCTCAAATTTGATGCTGGACACGTGCATAAAAGATCTCGAGGGAGATATTGTTCAATTCAGCTCAGAGGTTACAACTACCTGCTCGGAAAGTGCAATAGAACAGAATATAAAATCAGATGTCCATCCATTACTGTGATTTCACAAAGACTTTTCCCAAGTGAAAAGAGCTGAATGCAACATTTTGATTCTTGATGGAGTTTTGGTTCCTTGTCACTGTCGCCTTTGGCTTGCACACTTGGGGTTTATTTAGAAAACTATTATCAATTTGACTGCACTGACTATCCGATGAGAACAACTGCCAGATACACAATGATACACACTCAGACCTGAAGAGAAGAGAGCACAGCAGCGGCTCATGGACGCTAACAACTAAAGGAGCTCAAATTTGATGCTGGACACGTGCATAAAAGATCTCGAGGGAGATATTGTTCAATTCAGCTCAGAGGTTACAACTACCTGCTCGGAAAGTGCAATAGAACAGAATATAAAATCAGATGTCCATCCATTACTGTGATTTCACAAAGACTTTTCCCAAGTGAAAAGAGCTGAATGCAACATTTTGATTCTTGATGGAGTTTTGGTTCCTTGCCACTGTCGCCTTTGGCTTGCACACTTGGGGTTTATTTAGAAAACTATTATCAATTTGACTGCACTGACTATCCGATGAGAACAACTTAAAGGGTTAGTTCACCCAAAAATTGAAATTTTGTCATTAATTACTCACCCTCGTGTTGTTCGAAACCCGAATTTTCATTTTTGGGTGAACTAACCCTTTAATCTGAATCGAGCTGGTTAATAACACTATTGTCTTCTCTAGAGCTGCCTTTGAATTCATTTTAAATACTGATGAACTTTTCAACACTGACACTGTTAGTGAACTGAACTGAACCAATATTGAACTAAACTGAGCTGAATGGCACTATTTTCTTCTGTAATGTTGCTGTACAGCTGAAACTGAAGTTCTTCCATAATTAATAAATTTTGCAAATTTACTGGAATTTCCAGTTTTATTACTGTGCAGCTGCTTTGAAACAATCTGTATCGTATAAAGCGCTAGGAAATAAATGTGACTTGAAATGTATGACATTATGCAAACAGCTGCACCCAGATAAAGATAAATGTTCACTTTTAAACATTTCTTTTTTTTTTTATAATGTCGCCATTATTTTTTCCTTGCTCGTCACCTCTCAATCTGACTTGAAATGTCATTGCATTGCACTTTCCTGAGTTGATATCTAAAAATTAAGACATTCCAAATGGAAACTGCTGGATATTTATGGAGCACAGGTGAATGGAGACGCTGAATTACTGAAACAACAACTCCAGCATCCCATTTTCTCTGAGAAGAGCATCTTTGAGGATGGGAATATCTAACCCTTACTTATATCTTCTGCCAGATCTGTTACATGCAGGGGATATTTAAAATCCCCACAAGGTTTTGAGTTTATCCAGAGTGGACTCTTAAGTTGGCTTATGAAAAGGTCTTGCACTTGTAGCGTGAGAAACAGGAGCCGCTTTCAGAAGGAAAAGAGGTGATGCTTCAGTTCATATGTACAGTTTTAACGAAGCAGCCGTGGTTTACCAAGATATACAAGGAAGCTTGAATAATGATTGGTTTGTCCTGACTGCTCTCTTATCTTTGGTACATCAGCCCCACATTTCAGCCTCCTCATCAACCTTTTTTTTTTTACTTTTTCTTTTACTTTTTTTCTTAAAAAAAAGAGCAACAAAATCCCCGACATCATTTCCACGTCCCCTCTGAGTGAGATGAAGATCTCCTCCCCTCTGTACTTCACTCCTCTACACCCACACTGCACTTCCTCTGTCCCTCTTCCTCACTGCCGTCCAAATAACCCTTCCTCACACATACACACAGCCTCTCACCCAAACATATGGAAACAAAAAACAGAAACTTAAAGCATTCAAACAGAACAAGATGAAAGCCCTCCAGAAAGCAGCGCTACGTGAAGAGTTCACCGCTAGTTCAATATTGGTTCAGTTCAGTTCACTAACAGTGTCAGTGTTGAAAAGTTCATCAGTATTTAAAATGAATTCAAAGGCAGCTCTAGAGAAGACAATAGTGTTATTAACCAGCTCGATTCAGATTAAAGGGTTAGTTCACCCAAAAATGAAAATTCGGGTTTCGAACAACACGAGGGTGAGTAATTAATGACAAAATTTAAATTTTTGGGTGAACTAACCCTTTAATCTGAATCGAGCTGGTTAATAACACTATTGTCTTCTCTAGAGCTGCCTTTGAATTCATTTTAAATACTGATGAACTTTTCAACACTGACACTGTTAGTGAACTGAACTGAACCAATATTGAACTAAACTGAGCTGAATGGCACTATTTTCTTCTGTAATGTTGCTGTACAGCTGAAACTGAAGTTCTTCCATAATTAATAAATTTTGCAAATTTACTGGAATTTCCTGTTTTATTACTGTGCAGCTGCTTTGAAACAATCTGTATCGTATAAAGCGCTAGGAAATAAATGTGACTTGAAATGTATGACATTATGCAAACAGCTGCACCCAGATAAAGATAAATGTTCACTTTTAAACATTTCTTTTTTTTTTTATAATGTCGCCATTATTTTTTCCTTGCTCGTCACCTCTCAATCTGACTTCAAATGTCATTGCATTGCACTTTCCTGAGTTGATATCTAAAAATTAAGACATTCCAAATGGAAACTGCTGGATATTTATGGAGCACAGGTGAATGGAGACGCTGAATTACTGAAACAACAACTCCAGCATCCCATTTTCTCTGAGAAGAGCATCTTTGAGGATGGGAATATCTAACCCTTACTTATATCTTCTGCCAGATCTGTTACATGCAGGGGATATTTAAAATCCCCACAAGGTTTTGAGTTTATCCAGAGTGGACTCTTAAGTTGGCTTATGAAAAGGTCTTGCACTTGTAGCGTGAGAAACAGGAGCCGCTTTCAGAAGGAAAAGAGGTGATGCTTCAGTTCATATGTACAGTTTTAACGAAGCAGCCGTGGTTTACCAAGATATACAAGGAAGCTTGAATAATGATTGGTTTGTCCTGACTGCTCTCTTATCTTTGGTACATCAGCCCCACATTTCAGCCTCCTCATCAACCTTTTTTTTTTTACTTTTTCTTTTACTTTTTTTCTTAAAAAAAAGAGCAACAAAATCCCCGACATCATTTCCACGTCCCCTCTGAGTGAGATGAAGATCTCCTCCCCTCTGTACTTCACTCCTCTACACCCACACTGCACTTCCTCTGTCCCTCTTCCTCACTGCCGTCCAAATAACCCTTCCTCACACATACACACAGCCTCTCACCCAAACATACAGAACAAAAAACAGAAACTTAAAGCATTCAAACAGAACAAGATGAAAGTCCTCCAGAAAGCAGCGCTACGTGAAGAGTTCACCGCTTCTGAGAGTTGATCATCACTTTAGAGACGAAGTTGACGATGGCCGTGGCCGGTTGATCGGGATCCATCTCGGCGAACAGGTGACTGACGTTGTCTGTCGTGCTGCCTTGCTTTCTGGCCACAAAGCCAAAGAACCTGTGAAGAAGAAGAAAAAAATCGTAATGTATGTATTATAATAATACACTGTATGTATTAAGGACAGTTCACACAGAAGGCGTTCTTGCATTCTGTCTGCAAGATCAGGAGCTAGTGAAGACTTGAAACTTGTTAGAGAGATTCACAACAGCACTTGGATGAATCTTACAAAACATGTCCAGGTCACATTGCACCCCAAAATTGAAAGAAATAAAAAAATGATCTGGAATGTAACTAAATATTCATACAGATTTCTGTGTGTGTGTGTGTGTGTGAGTATAAATTAATATTTGTGATTAGGATTGATGCTGAATTATTTGAATGAATTATAATGATTATTAACATTAACATTTGTGAAATGTTTGTCAAATTTACTAGCAATTTCTGAGTGAAAATTGTTTCTACACTATTTTTTTTCAGTGTGTATACCATATATATCATGCACCCTTCATAAGCACTCTTCCCACAGAAATATATTTGCCGAGCAAAACTAATATGTGAGCCTGGGGTATATTTGTAGCAATAGCCAAAGATATAATTGTATGGGTCAAAATTATTGATTTTTATTTTATGCCAAAAATCATTAGGTTAAGTAAAGATCATGTTCCATGAAGATATTTTGTAAATGTCCTACTGTAAATATATCAAAACTTAATTTTTGATTAGTAATATGCATTGCTAAGAACTTCATTTGGACAACTTTAAAGGCGATTTTCTCAATATTTAGATTTTTTTGCACCTTCAGATTCCAGATTTTCAAATAGTTGTATCTCGGTCAAATATTGTCCTATCATAACAAACCATACATCAATGGAAAGCTTATTTATTCAGCGTTCGGATTATGTATAAATCTAAATTTCGAAAAATTGACTCTTATGACAGGTTTTGTGGTCCAGGGTCACACACACACACACACACACACACACACACACACACACACACACACACACACCCACACACACACACACACACACACACACACACACACACACACACACATATATATATATATATATATACATACACATATATATAATTTCCGTAATTTTTCATATTTATAGAACTGGACCAAACTTGGAAATCATACTTTTAAATTTCACTGACATTTTCAGGCTTTCCACAACTGGAAAACCTGTATAGTAATAAGAATTGTCCTGCATGTGCTTAATTGGCATGAAAATAATGTCACAATGCAAAAAATAATAAAAAATAAAATAATATTAATATTCCTAAAACCTAAAAAAATATATAATTTCTCGTCTTTTTTTTCTGACCTGAACACGTTCTTAACAAACATTCTTATAGTTGCAGGGTGCGAACTACGGGGGAGCTAGGGGGAGCTCGGCTCCCCTTAATAAGACATGGGCTCCCCTGAAAACGTGATTTGTGAAATTTTGGGGGGGGTCTCAAAAAATATTGACAATGTGTTATTTTGACGTGCAATTTCAGTTTTGTGTAATGTGATCATCGTGGATTATTATGTGTAAAATTGCAAAAATATCATTCATTCATGCATGACGGTGATTTAAACCTAATTCACTTCAATAAAGATAACTATACATGCTGGTCTTGTCATGAGCATCAAGGTGTGGGGGCACTGCGGTGCAAATTCCACTCATGTTTAGTACATGTTAACTCAAAGATTCGTAGAAAAAATATAAACGTTGGACTCTGTGGTCGATTCTGTGTTAAGGTAAGGCATGTTATTCGCAATTATGTGTTGTGGCTGGGTTGTCATGTGTCTGCGTGACTCTCGATGTCTTAGGCCTATGGTATTAGAATTATGGTATTCTTCTGTAGCCTGACGACGAGTAACTTTAACCGTTGTTCATGTGAACTCAAAGACAGCCTGATGCTTTGTTTATAGACTATTTGTGGGTGGCTGTTTGTTGTTTCACCTATCAATTCGTGTCGATAAAGCATAATAGGGTAAATCCTGTATTGTGATTTATCCTATATAGTGCTTACATAATGCACTTGTAGCTGTTATGTATCTTTGTAAGTCCCCACGCGCGCGCAAGCAGACGAACCCAAACACCCCCCGTTATAAAAAAACAAACAAACAAGTGGGCTCCCCCAATGTCCACGGTATAGTTCGAACACTGTATAGTTGTATTGTACATGTGAGCTCTGGCACTCATGCTGGCATCAGATGTTAAATACACAACCCTGCTCTGCCCTCACATGATCTGAACATATAAAACCCAGCAGCATTCTTCATTCTGTCATGATATTAAACCTGAGCTTCTCCTGAACCACAACAGCAGAAGTCACATTCATCTTGAATGCCTATAACATCATGTGCTTTCATCCTCAGCCCAGTCCAATGATCTGTTCCTCCTCTGTAACATATCTGAACACTGCATCAACAGCACAGTTCCAGCCCCATCTCTTTCAAAAGCGGCCCAGATCGAGCCGTGAGGGCTGTCACATGCCTCATTGCTCCGGGAGTGTAAAGTGTCATGTGCGTGAAAACTCAAGTGCTTCATAAAGAGATCTGATCAGATTGGCTGGGAGAGGATCATATCATACTTTTTATTTTGAGCCAGAAATCATCTCTATGATTTTTAGAATGAAACAGGCTCTCTTTTTATTTTCTTCGTCTCTTTAAAAAGATAGTTCACAAAAAAAAATATATATACATCATTTTCTCACCCTCAAGTTGTTCCAAACCTGTATGAATTTATTTCTTCTGATGAATACCAATATATATATATATATATTTTTTTTTTTTATATAATTTTTTTTTTTTGAAGAATGTTGTTAACCAAACAGTTCCATTGACTAAGGGGGGGAGGGGGGGGGGGAATACTATTGAAGTCAATGGCTACCAGGAACTGTTCGGTTACCAGCATTCTTCAAAATATCTTTTGTGTTCAACAGAAGAAGGAAGCTCATACCGGTTTGGAACAACTTGGATGAGTAAATGACAGAATTTATGAGAATGATGGAAGCATCTGAGAAGCATTTATCCTTCATGTATGTATTGTGTGTCCTCAGAGCGTAAATCATGACACACGTGTGTGAGGGTTAGCAGGTTAGCGTCATGTTCTGTGCCGTTAGCTGAGATCACAATCCTGCTCATTCATCACGATAGCCCTGAGCACAGGCACTCTATCCCATGATGCACCGGGAAGGGGGAGCAGCTCTTGGGACTGATGCGTATCTAAACTGTTTTCAGATAGCAGCGTCTACTAAGCTGCAAAAGATCAAGTTCACTGTTATCAAAACTTACTTCGCAGCGCCACCCTCTGGTTTGCTCCACCTGGAACGACATTGAAACAGATTATGGATGTTTAACTTTGAGCAACTACAGCATTAACAAAAAAATATATTAAAAATATAACTAAAAATATCAATGCAACTAAAAAATAAATAAATAATAATCACTTTTCAAGGAGCACGCCGATGCTTTGCGGGAGATAATTAAAAACATTAAACGCAATACTAAAAACGTGAGTTCTGATAAATTATTTGAATAAAGACAAATCAATAATAATTCAAAAAATATACATTGACATTTCCTGAAGAACGCGTAACAGCACTGTACAAAAAATTAGGTTGTAAATAAAACAGATTTTACAGTAAAATACTATTTTGGACTTTCTACTTCAAAGGTTTGTGTTTAATTTAATGTGTTACTTGCGGTTTATTTGTAACTAATTGTGAAATTTGCCAGAAATTTCTAAGTGAAAATTCCTTCACCTTTTCTTTTTCAGTTTAGTAGTAGCCACAATGGTACGATGTTCTGAATGGTTCTAGTGTAGTTTTGTAAATCTCTGCTCTATTCTTTTTCCTACTACATTCTATATTAATTTTCTATTTTTTCACATATTTCTCGAGAGGTAATTTTATTTATTACATACTGTCTTTTATTATGCGTGTTTATGTCTATAATTCCTTGTTGGTTATGTTTGTTGCACTGCGGGACGAGAAACTAACAAAAAAAAACATTTATATAATGTGACAAATAAAGAACCTTGAATCTTAAAACTTGAGGTTAAAGCTTTAAAAAAGCCTTGAATTGTGATATTGCACAACATTAACAGCAATACGGCCTGACAAGCACAAACATAATTCTGATCCTGTCACCAGATCCACTGATCAATATATAAATGTTGGGACATTGACTGCTGTGGCTAAAGTTAATGCTAATGTTTCAGGGTTTGCTTACTTCCTCTCCTGCGGATCAATGTCGCAGAACGTGACCGTGCTGATGGGATAGTGGCGTCTGAAGAAAAGCCTGTTGAAGAAATGACAGGTATGTGCTTTTAAAACATGTTCAGATGTAGCTCTTGAAAACATTAAGATTTAAACAGTAAGAAAGAAAGAAACTCACTTTCTCTGGTTGTCAGTGAGCGTGATGCCTTGCGCCGACACCTTGAAGTGAACAATGGTGGCTGAAGGTGTGGGACTGGTTGCCATGGTTTCTGAGATGGCCTTGGCGATGGCCTGAGGCCCAGTCAGAGACTCCATATCCACAGAGCTTATGTACAGGACATTGCATGCTGGGAAAGACAAGAAAACATGCATAGATCAATAACCATGCTGGTATCTGCAGAGAATTAAATTACAGCTGCATTATGCAATGCATATGTGCCTTAATAAACTCTGATCTTCATACATACTGTGATTTCATCAAACACACGCATATCATTAGTATATTCTGCATATGCATAATCCAGTGGTTCTCAAAAGTGTGGGTGGGAGGTATCAGCCTAAAATGCTAAAATATCATTCATGCTGCACTGGTGAATCACCAGGGTTTTTTTAGCATTATTTATACTAAATATATGCCATTTACCTTGTTTATATATATTTTCCATTTTCATTTGAATTTTAGTTAAATTTTTTACTAAATTTATCATTTTTAGTTTTTCATCTAAAATTTCAGAATATTTTATTTGTAAGCTTTTTTTCAATAAAGGAAATATTTGTAATGGTTTCAGGTCACGGTAACAACAGTAATGCACACAAAGAATGCTTGTTGCACACAGTAATGTTTGTGTGCATATTATTATTTTTTCCTACTACATTCTATATTAATTTTCTATTTTTTCACATATTTCTCGAGAGGTAATTTTATTTATTACATACTGTCTTTTATTATGCGTGTTTATGTCTATAATTCCTTGTTGGTTATGTTTGTTGCACTGCGGGACGAGAAACTAACAAAAAAAAACATTTATATAATGTGACAAATAAAGAACCTTGAATCTTAAAACTTGAGGTTAAAGCTTTAAAAAAGCCTTGAATTGTGATATTGCACAACATTAACAGCAATACGGCCTGACAAGCACAAACATAATTCTGATCCTGTCACCAGATCCACTGATCAATATATAAATGTTGGGACATTGACTGCTGTGGCTAAAGTTAATGCTAATGTTTCAGGGTTTGCTTACTTCCTCTCCTGCGGATCAATGTCGCAGAACGTGACCGTGCTGATGGGATAGTGGCGTCTGAAGAAAAGCCTGTTGAAGAAATGACAGGTATGTGCTTTTAAAACATGTTCAGATGTAGCTCTTGAAAACATTAAGATTTAAACAGTAAGAAAGAAAGAAACTCACTTTCTCTGGTTGTCAGTGAGCGTGATGCCTTGCGCCGACACCTTGAAGTGAACAATGGTGGCTGAAGGTGTGGGACTGGTTGCCATGGCTTCTGAGATGGCCTTGGCGATGGCCTGAGGCCCAGTCAGAGACTCCATATCCACAGAGCTTATGTACAGGACATTGCATGCTGGGAAAGACAAGAAAACATGCATAGATCAATAACCATGCTGGTATCTGGAGAGAATTAAATTACAGCTGCATTATGCAATGCATATGTGCCTTAATAAACTCTGATCTTCATACATACTGTGATTTCATCAAACACACGCATATCATTAGTATATTCTGCATATGCATAATCCAGTGGTTCTCAAAAGTGTGGGTGGGAGGTATCAGTCTAAAATGCTAAAATATCATTCATGCTGCACTGGTGAATCACCAGGGTTTTTTTTAGCATTATTTATACTAAATATATGCCATTTACCTTTTTTATATATATTTTCCATTTTCATTTGAATTTTAGTTAAATTTTTTACTAAATTTATCATTTTTAGTTTTTCATCTAAAATTTCAGAATATTTTATTTGTAAGCTTTTTTTCAATAAAGGAAATATTTGTAATGGTTTCAGGTCACGGTAACAACAGTAATGCACACAAAGAATGCTTGTTGCACACAGTAATGTTTGTGTGCATATTATTATTATTATTCTTAAATGCATTCTACTTATTATTTATTATTATTTTTGCTTAATATTATTTTGGGTTAAACTACCCTTCGACATTGCTCCTGCAAATATGTATGAATGTTTTATTTATTTATTTACAAAATACATCTTTGAAATATTCTCTGTATTTTTGCATGCATTTTCCCGCTTTTTTCCTTTTTTATTATTACAAAGACATATCTTAGACTACAGAGAATAAATGCAGGTAAAGTTTTTTTTTATAACTATCTACATCTCAACAGTAGTATGTACTTTACTAAAATATGGCAACAACTGATTAGCATTAATGATTAGGAGGGCTCAAAACTGTTCTTGTCTCAAAGGTGGCGCTGAAAAGAAATTGAGAACCACTGGCATCATCTATCAGTAGACCCATGCATCGTAATCTAACATCAGTCATGAAAGAACATGCCATATCCATTTAGAAAGGTGTTCTTGAAATACAATCGAGGCCTTGACAAAAAGCTGAAAACAGAGCAGCCGAACAGTTTTTAGCAGACAGGTGAAGGTGCTTCTGGAGGTCTGGACCATCACATGCACAGACAGTAGTAAAAGAGGAGTGCGGTTCTCTCTCTAGACACGGCGGTCAAAGTCAGGTTAAACACAATGACAGATAAATTAATAAAATACACAGAGCATCACTGGGTTTACCATGGGAGTCAGCTGGACTCTTCTGCCCTAAATCATTTCCACAGGAGTGACACCAGGGTGGGGAAGAACATGGCAGTTGGTTCAGAGTTGATATCAGATCATAAACAAGTAACAGAGCTAGTGTGACTGCATTAACACTTGGACTAATGGAATAAAACCCTCATTAAAATGTATCTAAAGAGCATAACAGAGATCTATGATTAACATAAATAGATAGATTTACTAGAATTAGTTTAAAAACAAAAAAGTGAAGCTCACATTTTTGTTAAATGTGTGTTTTAATGTTTATTGTCAGGCCCTTGTACTTCTTGTGTAAGTGCCTTACTGTAACTGTGATTATTGCCTTTTTAAAACACTGAAAGTTGAAAGGTTGTTTTCTGTGGTAACTGTTTTCTGTTGTTTTCTTAATTTGAAGCTGGAACATTGCATCTTATGAATTTAAACGTTAGATGAATAAAAAGATACAAATAAGTGATTGTGATATACCACTAATCACTGATGTAAATATTCTCACCTGCACCCTGTTTGAGCATCTCTGCCGCCGGGTTAGTTGGTGTTGCGATCTCAGGTGACTCCTCCAGAGGATCTGTAAAAAATCAAAACGGGTCAAAGTTTAGACTTAACACATCCTGTCCATTTAACTTGTCATAGTGCTGCGAGAATTGGTGCTATGCTAGGAATCAAAGCTCCTGGCTAACATGGTGTCACACAGTGTTTGAGCAGGCAGAGAGGCACACATAAAGATGTGTGGTTTCATGCCCCCTGACACCTGGATGGCATAGAGCAGTTGGCTGAGGACAGAGGCCAGCTGAACGTGCAGACCTCGGAAAACGCTCACAATTATTCACACTGGGGAAACAGGACATACATCATCATGACAGAGAGCGCAGCTAAGTAAGGTCATGATAAGTGGGCATGTACAGTACGTACACAAACATACATAAAAGTCACTGTGAAAATATGTGAAGTATGCATCTGGCTTTACTTTTGTATTTTTATACATTACATTTAGCTTTAACTTCAGGTTTGAACAAAAGAGTTCAGATGCCTAGGTTTCCATCCTTGTAATTTTATGCAAATTGCTAAATTGGATGAAAATACCAACATGCAGACGTAGTGTGAAAAAGTCCATTTGTATTTTACTTATTTACTTAAAAAATATATATTAAAAATAAAAATTATTGTTGTTTTCCATTTTTCCAAAAGAAAAATAAAAAGGTTTTCAATGTAGTCTCAGACGTTTGGACCCCACTGTATGTGTAGAGAAAGTGATATGACGTCTCACCTCTGGTTGGTATGACTAGTTTGCAGGGTAGAGCCAGAGGAGTGATGGAGTGCTGGTAGACCAGTGCAGACAGGCAGCCTGAACACAGAAGATGAAAACAAAATTGGGGTCAGATTTACGAGTGGAAATCAGAGGAGGGCATACTCTACATTACAACCCCCTGAAGCAGTCAAAATTTGATGCCAGGCATTGACAATCCATAAATCCATGTTGCTGACCAGTTGTGTCAGTGAAAGTTTGGACGATTGGAGGGACAGTCATACCGGCACTTGCTTTAACCTCCACAGAGTCTTAATTTATTAAACTAAATATTTGACTATATTAGGAAAAACAAACTCTGGAGAGACTTTGTTTGGGCAGAACGTTTCCTACTGCTCGTGAGAAACAGCGGAACTGCGGAAGCAAAATGTCCAGGTTAATGGTGGGAAGGAGTCCTTGTTGCCAATTTTAAAAGTTATTATCAGCTTTTAAACTCTCCTCCTTCAGCAATCAGATTTTATCAACACTAACAGGAAATGAAGACCGCTTACTTAAGGCTCCTTTACAGGAATCGTTCACTACTAAACAGCTGCTCACCTTTATGTTGTTCCAAACCTGACTTTCTTCTTTAATTGGAGCACAAAAAGTGAATTGTCCATTCTTTTTTTTATATATTTGGAATTAAACAATGACAGATGCTGTCAAGCTCCAAAAAATAAATAAATAAATAAACAACGTATCACAAAAGTAGTCAGTATGACTGGTGTATTATAATGAATTTGTGCCTTCTGGATATAAAAACAAATTTTTTGATGCAACCATGCCATTTTAACTTCCTTATATGCAGATTTGAACTGTTTTGTCGAACCGTAGTTACACGGGATTCAAACCGGAGCTCCTCACCTCTCAAGTACATCTCCGTACTCCGTGAGCTACCGAACAAACCTATCGTCTATGAAAACCCATTGATATGACGCTGGATATGTGCGCTGCTAACGTTAAAAAGCATCAGTTTTCAAATATCCCAGCATATTAAAAATGTTTTGAAGTCACAACATAATACTCTTCAAGTAATTGTGCGAAAATTACGCTTTATTAATCGAAACTCTGTAAATCATACTCTGTGTGAAAATTATTTAAAAGGCGTCTGAGTTTTACTGCCTCTAGTGTTCATTTTTTTTGGAAACTGCAGTGATATGTACTTATTGGTACGTATTTTGCGTCTTGCAAAAATGTGCCCCCCCAGGTACGTATTTGCCATGAGACCGGGTAGATTTTCTCAATATTCAGATTTTTTTTGCACCCTCAGATTCCAGATATTGTCCTATCCTAACAAACCATACATCAATCGAAAGCTTATTTATTCAGCTTTCAGATGATGTATAAATCTCAATTTCAAAAAATTATGACTAATTTTGTGGTCCAGGGTCACATATGATAGTTTTATGTAAAACAAAGAGTAAAGTATTTTCAGTGGAAAATAACCACAATTTTGATCTTTTCATCACATTAAGCTATCATATGACTTCAGAAGGCAACTTCTATGATATGTTTATGGAGCTTTTGGTCCTTTTGATGGCCATGGTCATTGTGTACTGCATGAAAAGTAGCTTGAAGATTCTACAGATATCCACCTTTAGTATTTACAGGAAAAATTAACAGCATACGGGTTTGGAATGATATGAAGATGATACAATTTTTTGGGTGAACTGATCCTGTGAACAGTGGGCGTCCTGGCAGAGATTCAGCGGGAGGAGTGGTGCTTAGGTACTTCTGTACATTTATTAACATGAGTATTATTCCCGACAACACCGGAATCCTGCCAAATTTCACCCACACCTGCTTTCATTCCCACAAATCAGAGTTGTCCTTTGTCTGTTCTGCTTTTCATAATAAACACACGCTTATGCAACGGTTACCATAACTGGATGTTTGAGCTCTTATGCAAGCTGCCCAGCCCTGAATTTTTATGCCTCCTTATTTGATGTGGAACGGGGCATATTGGAGAAGACATGCAGCACTGTCCATTGAACAGACCAGGCCTCCATGTAATGTGGTCAGCAGACAGTAAATTAGAGAGGGGTCGTTTTAAGCTGTACTTAATAATGTCAGCTGCTTCCACGCTGCCGTTTGGACTACATATGTTCTACAGCTTTCTGGAAGCTACACGGACAGCTTGATTTAAAGGGAAGGATTGCTAACTTGTATTGAAGAGCAAAAACCACACAAGCATTTGTTCTACAAGCTTGACAGATTGGGCTTTCACATTAGTGAACATTCGACAAATCATTCTCGTGTAAGTGTTCGCAAGCTATGAGGAGCAATGTGGTTATGTAGGCAAAAATCCTGTGGAGAAAAGTGAAAAATCTAATTAAAAATGACTATTTGAATGTGTTTTCAACATTCTAAAATTAAACACAGGTCAGGAGATTTTAATTTAAAATTAAACAGTTTGATTTACCAAAGTATGGCTCATTAGGACAGCCCTTCAGTCTCACTCCTTTCGGACTCGTCTCAATCAGGAAATGTCTCACCAACTCACTAGTGACGTCTCCAGCTGAAATAATTATGGAATAAAAATTTAAAAATAAAGTAACACAGCATAATAAAACAACCAATAATAGTATAATTTGTAGAGCAGACTCTAAATTACATAATTTGATTCTAAGTGAAACCCCCTGTTGATATCTGTAAATTTACTTAAATTACCGTATTTATTCATATTTGAAATTCAGTTGAATTATATATACACAATTGACTGAATTGGTGTTTCTCAATCTTAAAAACAGTATTTTTAATGCCCATTAATTTAATATAATTAAAATAAAAAAATGTATTTATTAATTAATTTATTAAATGGACATGATGCAAATCTACAAAAATAAATAACATTTTGAACTGTTGAAACTGTTACACGATAAGAAAGGGCATATATAAGATTGACCGTGCCACAACTGACCAACCAGAATCCATTATTTCAGAGAACTATGCAATAAAAAGAATAAGTGACTGGTAGTGTCTTTGGTTTTCCTTATGAAACGTTTCAGTGTGTGTTGTTAGGTGTGTGTGTGTTTGTGTTTGTTTGCTGCGGACACAACAGGATTATGATCCAGGCGGGGTCAGATCTCCTGTCTGGAATTCATCTGGCAAATGATTATCTGCATTAGCCACATGCCTGGAGGAGGCACATGAAATACCTTTCTTTGTAGGTTGCAGGGTCGGAGGTGGAGAGACAACTTTCATGGCCAAGCCGTAGGCCCCTCTGAATGAATGACTGTCCCGAATGACAAAGGCTCCAGGCTCTTGATCCTTCAGCATGTTGATCGCTAGAGTGAGGAGGAGAAAATCCCAAAGCCAGTTTATATGTAGCATAATGGCAGCTTCAGTCTTATAAAATTAAAATAAATATAACCAATCCCCCCAAAAATTCATTTTTTGTTGATGATGCGGATAAGTTATTAAAGTCCAAAATGTGTGGCATCCCAGGTTCTGTTTATTGTGCAACCAAAAATACAAATAATAACTATAAATTTTTTTTAAAGATTATATCCATAACACTGCACATTTAACTTTAACAAAGCCTTCTCAAAATATGCAAAAAATGCACTCTTTTGATCATATATATATATATATATATATATATATATATATATATATATATGTGTGTGTGTGTGTGTGTGTGTGTGTGTGTTTAGATATAAATATATTGATAATATAGCATACATATATTCATCTTATCTATATAAATATATAAATAATCAAGAGTAATTTATCAACAGTAGATCATCAGTGATCACTTGTCATAAATGTTTAGTATTATATCTACTATTATATTGGTAAAACTTTACAATAAGGTTAGTTAGTTAACATTAGTTAACTACATTGGTTAACATGAACTAAGAATGAACAATACTTCTACAGCATTTATTAATCTTAGTTCATGTTTTTCTCAACATGTACTAATGCATTATTAAAATCAAAAGTTCTGCTTGTTAACATTAGTTAATGCACTGTGAACTAACAGGAATTAACAATGAACGACTATTTTCATTAACTAACCTTAACAACGATGAGTAAATATTGTAGTAAATGTATTGTTCATTGTTTGTTCATACATTAAATAACATTAACTAATGGAAAATTATTATAAAGTGTTACCATTACATTAAAGTATTTTTTATGCTTTTTTTTTTGTCAGTCAAAATTTAGATGAAATCCGTAAATAATAAATAATGATTATAAATAATGCTTGTCAATATTGTCCATGCTGCATATGTGCCTTTATTATAGCACACATTTCACATTAACGATTCCACAGTATTAATAATATTATTCCATAAACATTTTCACCATATTATTACTTTATGTAAACCACTTTGGAAAAAAACATCTGCTAAATGAATAAACGTAAATGTATTTTTCACCATGTGACATTGCTTTTTTACTCATTATTCACCAGTTGGAGATGTGAAGGTGAAGGCTATAATATGTTAACAAATTGCTGTAATGTACCCTGCAGTTTTACAAACAGAGAGATAGGGAGCGAGTGGAGGAAAAAAACCTTACTAAGCAGGTTTATTCATTATCGTTAAGACAAGTTAATGACGCAACAGATGCAGATGTTCGTTGGATTTAACTGCACACACATGTTGAGTGCCATGTGATGTCACTGCATGTGCTTGCGTTTAAAGAGAACTCCAGCGCAGGTGATCTAATCCAATAAGAGCACAGAGGAGAACCAGATGTGGAGACCAACAGCGATTGACCTCATATAGGGTGGCGTGAGACATATTTTACTGTTTATGGGAGTTATGAGCCTCATTCGGGGGTCTAAATATAGATAAATTAAACCTGGAACACACATATACTGCATCCTTACCTTGGTCTCTGGAGATATCTGGTCTATACCAGAATTTGGACGTGTCCTGGACAAACTTCACGTTCAGCCTGGTCTCCGGACTTCCATCTGGGAAATGAAATATTCACTTTATTTAGCAGTCCATTAGCTGTAAACTGAAATTGGTTTAATATGCCTAAGCTAATGAATGCAGTACACTTTCAAAACTACACTGACACACACACACACCTGTCTAAAATTACACTCAGGATCATTAGTATCTTATTAAATTACTGACAGCAACACCTAAAATAAGCACATTTCTCACAGCCAAAGAACACAGATCCTGTAACAGCACAGATGTAATACATGTCTTACTGCTCTAAGAAACGGTTAGTACACAATAAAAATATTAAGGACACAATTTTTTTTTAAATGTTATTTCAATGCTATCCTAAAAGACATGAAAGAAGATATAGTCCATGATATGTAAGTAATAAGAGAATGCTATTTTATAGGTTCTCATCAACAATTTAAATGTATGAATTTTCTACTTAATGCATCGGTTCATTGTATTCACTGTGTTTAATGTACTTGCATTAGTATGAATTTTCTACTATACATTAATTTACGTTTTGTAATTTACAAGAAATGCTCTAACATCTGATTACATTGAGCTCGCTTTTTGCATTTCCACTATGGTCCACAAAGTTTATTTATTATAATATACAGTAGTATTTAATAGTTTGGGGTGATGGGATTTAAAAAAAAAAACATTTTTGAGTCTCTATGGTCACTAAGGCCGCATTAATTTAATCAAAAACACAGTAAAACAGTAATATTGTGAAATATTATTACAATTTAAAATAACTGTTTTCTATTTTAATATATTTTAAAATGTAATTTATTCCTGTATTGAAAAGCTGAATTTTCAGCATCATTACTCCAGTCTTCAGTGTCACATTTGCTGCTCAAGAAAAAAAAAATTCAGGATTTTTGAACAATAGAAAGTTCAAAAGAACAATATTTATTTGAAAGAGAAATCTTTTGTAAATGTCTTTACTGCCATTTCTAATCAACTTTTAAAATCCTTGCCGAATTAAAGTATAATGTAAAAAAAAAAATCTTACTGACCCTTTGAATACTTACAAATTTTTGAATGGTAATATATATTTATTATAAAAATATAAAAAATTCAGTTCAATACAGATCAACATTCCATATATGGCATTCCTGTTTATGATTAATTCATACTTAAGGAAAAAACTACACAATCAGCAGTTACTTAGAAACTGTCTTACATTTAAATTCAAAAGACATTTTTTTATTATTCACTGAGTTAATCGTAGAGTACGTCAGTTAATATAAGATGAAACGTCTAGCTTCGCGGTCTCTCTCTCATTTGGATGCACGTCTTGCCGCATTGTTTCTCTCTTATAACCTTATTATTTCTCACTAATAACCTAACTGAAGCAGCACATGCCGCATGTATGTTTAACAGTTAACTTGAGCTTTGAATCCGTGGCGGAAGGAAGTAGTTCTGCACAAAAGAGGGTTTATTAGGCACTCTGTTGTTTCTTGTTTAATTACACACATGATCCGTCGAACTGTTGTATAAATGCAATATCACTCTCGTACTCGAGCGATACCGGCTCTATATCAGCGGCTGTGATATATATATGAGCAATATCACGATATATATAAATAATACTCAAATAACACTGTATGAAACATGAGGCTAGCGGCCACTTACACAGCATCTGGGCTCTGAATGGGACTGCTGGAGGAAAGAGGAGCGTTGTAGGCATGGGACGGCCCAGCAGGACGAGCTAAGCTGTCGCTGTCATATGTTGGAGACACAGGTGACGCTGGCGGCCCACTTGCAGCTGCTTTGGCCACAGACTCCACATAGCTACGAGGCTCTGGCAAAGAAACAAAGAGAGAAATACCTGTGAGTGCAAGAGTTTAGACAACTCGAGTCAAACAAAAAGTCAAAACTAAGATTATATATAAATACTTTGTAAGGCCGAGAGGTGACATCTGACCCTGAGTTGTGAAGAAACTTCATTAAGGTCAGGTGAATAGGAGAAAATGAGTTGTAATGAAGAATGGAAACGACCGTGATGTGTAAGATGACAAAAATCGGCCAGAAGGTGAGGTGGTTTGGATGTAATACTAGACGTAAATCTTATGCATTCTTACCTTCCTCATCCTCACTCTCTGTTTTCCAGACAGCAGAAGAACAAAATTATAAGACAGAAATAGAAGAAGTTCAAAGAGATGGGGAGAAGAAGGGATAATTGCTAAGCATGAAAAAACAACGAACGATAACAGCTTTTTTACATTCTAAGCCCATATTAATTTCTTCCATAATCACAAAAACACAACCTCTGTTTGTTTTCCATACAAGCAAAGTGGAAGGTTATTCATTTTGCTTGTATGCAAGTGTTTTTTTTAAAGTGGTCCATACGACTTGCGTTTTGTCTCCTTTTGTATTTTACACTAGTAAAAATTAATCATAATGACACAAGGGTGCAAAAACTAAGAGAGAATTTGCACATTTGTGTAAATTATTACTTTTAAGAGAACAAAAAAGTGAAACACAACCAAAGAAAACACAATGCAATCTTCATTTGCATTTTTGCTGCTCGAAATACCAGCAGGCCCCAGTGCAGATTAAAAAATCTAAAGTTACATCCCTTATCTTCAAATAAGCACAAGACATAATTTAAGCTAACTATAGTAGGCCTCAAATTAATTCCATGAGGAGCGACGCTAAAATCAGCCCTGCATGAGAACTTGTTCCAAATTAAAGAGTCTCCGCAACTCCTCACAGGATCCTGTTACCTCCGACTCTACAAAAAATACAGTTTACGGTGAATCTCACCGAACCTGCCGAGACACGACCAGGTCATATATCACCCCGGAAATCAAAGGAAATAAATAAGAAATAATAAAGGAAAAGAAATGTGGACTTATTTTCATGACTTCACCCCTGGAGACATTGTAAGACTGCATTAACAGAAACAATTTAATAAATTATTTTTTGGCTATATTTTTGCTGAGCTTGCTAAAATCAAGCTTAAAAATCATCATACCATCAAACATTAAATATATCCTTGGGACAAACAGAGCGTAATAAATCAACTTAAAAATGGGCTCTGTTCCAAAAACTAGTAAGCTGTCTTGTCTACTGCCTATATAGGGAGCTACTTACTAAGACAACATCCTCATTAGTGACTGATTTGGCAACTCTGGATATATTTTAATTGAGTTTGTTCTAGCATGGTGCTGAGATAACAACATGACACTCTAATAAGCATAAAAATAACAGTCTTTAATATTGAGTAAAGTAGTCAATTTTGTAATTACAGTATATTAAACTAAACTGAGCTTTCTTGAACTGATATTTTCCTCTGGAAATGTATTAGGAATACGCTACTGTTGAAAAAGTGACAGTAAAGACATTTCTAATGTTACAAATTGTTTCCACAAAAACAATAAATACATAAAAAAAATTATAATAATTAAAGCAGCACAACTGCTTTCAACATTGATAATAATAAATGTTTATTGCACAGCATTCTAAGCATATTAGACTGATTTCTGAAGAATCATGTGACACTGAAGACTGGAGTAAAATAGTTTACAATATTACTGTTTTTACAGTATTTTTAATCAAATAAATGCAGCCTTGTTGAGCATAAAGGTTTTTTATAGCAATATACATATACATATATAGATAGATAGATAGATAGATAGATAGATAGATAGATAGATAGATATAGATGAAGCAGTACTTTAGAAGGCTTTAGAATTTGGCCAAAGGGGAATTTTAGAAAGTACAATAATAATGTGACCGTTTGTATCAATGATCCCTTTAAATGCCACCTATGTAGGCAGCTCACTAGGTTTTGGAACAAAACCTTTCACTCTCTTCCACAGATACACACACACACACACATTAAAAGACCACAGTAAAATGATCCCAATATAACCACATATGAAAAGAAAACACCAATCCATTTAAAGATACGTATGAGCTCACGGCTCAAGAGAGTAGAAAAGGAGAAGGGGAAACACTTGAGAGAGAGAAATGAAAGGTTATTTTGATATATGGCCCACAAGATGTATTTGAGCTCCCTTTATGGAGTATGGCATGGAGCGGCTCAGACCAAAGCCAAAAGACCACGCGTGTCTGCATGTGTATTACGCTGTATATGTGTGTAAAACCTCACCTGAGCCTGTCTGGTTGAGCAGTATCTCAGCAGGGTTGTGGGGCTTCAAGCCCAGGAAGGACAGTGGTGTTTTAGCCAGTCCAGGAGGAGATCGACCTAAAGCGACACACAGAGCACAGAAAGAAATGTTTTATTCAGAGAGTTATCAAATTAAAACATACTTAAAGCAAGTACATCAAGGCAAATGCTTGTAGCTTGGCAAGCTTGATTTCACATATTGCTGCAATCAGAATAGGGTTGTCGATCAATTAAAAAAATAACAGAAATATTTTTGTTAAGCTCCATCAATGGTTTTGAATGTAAGAACGCAACCCACTTTTTCATTATGGAGGACTAGGAGAGTCACTAAAAAAAGAAATAAATAAAGGTATCAAATCAATGTTATTATTGAAAAAAAAATCACTTAAAATAGTCAATTAAATAGAATGAAAAAAATGTATTTATATAATCAAAACTATTTCAAATAAAATGATAAATCATTTTAAATTGAACAATAAAACATTTAAATTGAAACAAAGCATTTCAATTTCAAAAAATTGTTTTTTTTTATCCATTTGCCAGTTGAATTAAAAATTTTATTTTAATATGCTGTAATGAGGCAGAGTGCATGATTAAGTGTCAATATTTTTTACAAATCACTGGTAGCTTAATTAACTGTACTAAATTAGACAGCCCTATTTCCAAAGTGTGTCAGACCGCAATTCATAATGCATTATGTAATGCTGTAAGGGGTGCTACTGTATATAGCGGTCTTGATATGTTTTTAGCAAGCCAAACACACATCTGGTTTAATGGCACAGACATTTGAAGGTAACTCTATCACTCCCTTGAGAGGTTTGTTACGGCAGGAGCAAATTATGTTCAGTATGATGGTGCAATTGCAATGCATTGGCCAAGCATTCACATCTGCGTTTGCGTACTTGCACAAAGTATGTTTTTGGTCCTTAGCCCTTATAATACAGATCAGCATTTACCACTTTCATCTTCAAGGCGTCAGCATTTGACAATCTTATCAAAGAGACTGACTTCCAGAAAACGAGCCTTTGAGAGACTACTGTGATAAACACTTGAGCTTTTAAAGACAGCAGACTGAGGTGGCTATTTCAGTATGTGACATGGATGGGGAATGAGCTAATGTCTCATGCTCTGTGGCAAGGCCGTGCAAGCGCCTTTAAAAGAGTTAACGATGTGATTAACACTCGCTGTAACGGTGCCCAGTCAAAAGAACGAAAACAAGACAGATCATGCAGACAAGCATACACCTCAGCTGAACAGATCTCAAAAACGTCACATTGAAAACATTCAAGACCTCACTAAACAACGAATGATACGAACAACTGGATTTTCTCCAAACATTTGTTGATGTTTAATATATCTCAATATTTATGATTTTGCACAGAAATGATAATAACAATCATCAAGTCAATGATCAATTACAATAATCGAGTACATTAAAATATTTCATTCAAAAAGTTAAATATAGTAAAACGCTAATAAAAAATAATCAAGACATTCTTTCCACTGTTTTACATTAAATGAAAAAAATGCTAACATCAAGTTAAAGATTTTGCTAACACAAACAAATTGCTGAATTAATTCAACTGAATTAATTATGAATTTACTAATTGAATCATTGTACATTTTCTGAAATTTGAACTGATTCATGTCAATGAATCAAACTTCCTATACTAGATGTAACTTTTGCTATTAAAGTTTTAATTACATTAATTTTATTATAAACAACATTTACCTTACATATTTTGACCAAAAACATAATGCAAAATAATGCAAAAGAATCAATGAATGAGTTTTGATTATATATATATATATATATATATATATGTGTGTGTTTTTTTTCTCCAAACATTTGTTGATGTTTAATATATCTCAATATTTATGATTTTGCACAGAAATGATAATAACAATCATCAAGTCAATGATCAATTACAATAATCAAGTACATTAAAATATTTCATTCAAAAAGTTAAATATAGTAAAACGCTAATAAAAAATAATCAAGACATTCTTTCCACTGTTTTACATTAAATGAAAAAAATGCTAACATCAAGTTAAAGACTTTGCTAACACAAACAAATTGCTGAATTAATTCAACTGAATTAATTATGAATTTACTAATTGAATCATTGTACATTTTCTGAAATTTGAACTGATTCATGTCAATGAATCAAACTTACTATACTAGATGTAACTTTTGGTATTAAAGTTTTAATTACATTAATTTTATTATAAACAACATTTACCTTACATATTTTGACCAAAAACATAATGCAAAATAATGCAAAAGAATCAATGAATGAGTTTTGATTTGATTCTTTTAAGCAGATTGAACTGAATAACGGGAAATGAATCAACTTACCGAGTCTTAGTGTTCTCATATTATGGCCCGGTTTCACAGATGGGGCTTAGCTTAAGCCAGGACTAGGCCATAGTTCAATTAGGATTTTAAAGTAATTTTTATAAACATGCTTTAGAAAAAAACATTACTGGTGTGCATCCTGAGACAAAACAAGGGCACTGACATTTTTCAAGATCAATCAGTGCAAGTTTCTTTCAGTTGAAACAGCTCAGGCTTACATTTTAGTCAGGGACTAGGCTTAAGCCTTGTCTGTGAAACGGGGGGTAAGTGCTACAAAAAAAAATTCTAAAGAAACTGTCATTAGGAACTTACTGTATGAATAAACAGCACATTATATCACCAGCAAAACAACTGCTAATATATCATGAATATTCAATATACCTCCCAGCCCTAATGTTCACTAAGTATCCTGTGGTAATTTAACACAAAAGGACAGGACTTGATTGATTATGTTTTGTGTTATTGTAGGCTGAAGCTCTGTTTTGTTCTCTGAAGCCACATCTAGGTGCTCGTGGTAGCAGAACTAGTCTGAAGAGCTTTGAACGTGAAGTGGCCTCAGGGTACGATGTCAGCTCAAGAGAATGACTTGAATCGCTTTCGAATGAGGTGTCTGGTAAAAAGAAATGCAGTGGAAGTCCAAGGAAAACAGAGCTGCTTAATATTGTGTGCGTCTAACCTTGTAAAGAGGCTACAGACTTTTACAAGAAGCTTTAGATTAAACCTGTAGGGACAATATGCTGGAGGGGAAGATGAAGCAATAGGTTATAAAAACCTGTACAGGAGAAATTAATCTGCACATGAAACCTGAGGCGCAAATGTGCTTGTTCTTGCATTGAGATACAATGACTGTGGAGGCTAACATGCAGCAGAAAAACTGCTGACAAAAAACATTTCTCAGACCCACAGACGTTGGGACTTGCTGGGGAGCAAGTGAGAGCGGGGTCTTTCTGATCTGAGCACTTATGCATGTCTATGAACCAACACAAAGTGTGTGTTATCACTCAAACATATTTAACGTTGAGAACATATGAATGAACTACAGCATCTGTTAATGATATCTACTGGCTATTGCAAACACCCCGAGGTAGGGTTGGATTTAAGTGCAGCCAGACCTCACGTTGGCTTATAGATAGTGTGTTAATGTAATGTTAGCCCTAAAGATTCTTTTACAGAAAGAAGCAAAAAAAACAAAAAAACACCACTATTCTGATGTGCTAATTATGAAACACAATGGTTCTGTTGCAAAACCTAGTGAGCTTTCTTGCTGTCTATCACCTACATAGGCAGCTGCCTCCCAAGGCTGCATATTAACTGATCTGTAACCTCGTAAGTGTGCAATCTGGAACACTCTAAATGCGCAGCATACACATGAAATGTGACTCGCAATTGATTTCATTTGAGATTTGTGTTAGCATGTTGCTAAGCTAATGGTAAAACATTTCAATTAGAATAACAAACAAAATAAATACTGGATAACTCAAAGCTGTTTTTACCAATACTTTTAGCAAATTATATTTGTAATCAATAACTGCCTGCATTCTCCACCATCTTAGATGGTGGTATTCACATGCAGCAGAAAAACTGCTGACAAAAAACATTTCTCAGACCCACAGACGTTGGGACTTGCTGGGGAGCAAGTGAGAGCGGGGTCTTTCTGATCTGAGCACTTATGCATGTCTATGAACCAACACAAAGTGTGTGTTATCACTCAAACATATTTAACGTTGAGAACATATGAATGAACTACAGCATCTGTTAATGATATCTACTGGCTATTGCAAACACCCCGAGGTAGGGTTGGATTTAAGTGCAGCCAGACCTCACGTTGGCTTATAGATAGTGTGTTAATGTAATGTTAGCCCTAAAGATTCTTTTACAGAAAGAAGCAAAAAAAACAAAAAAACACCACTATTCTGATGTGCTAATTATGAAACACAATGGTTCTGTTGCAAAACCTAGTGAGCTTTCTTGCTGTCTATCACCTACATAGGCAGCTGCCTCCTAAGGCTGCATATTAACTGATCTGTAACCTCGTAAGTGTGCAATCTGGAACACTCTAAATGCGCAGCATACACATGAAATGTGACTCGCAATTGATTTCATTTGAGATTTGTGTTAGCATGTTGCTAAGCTAATGGTAAAACATTTAAATTAGAATAACAAACAAAATAAATACTGGATAACTCAAAGCTGTTTTTACCAATACTTTTAGCAAATTATATTTGTAATCAATAACTGCCTGCATTCTCCACCATCTTAGATGGTGGTATTCACAGTTTGTAATGCATATTCTCTGTGAAGGGTATAAACAATGCTGCCTTAGAATATGGCTTAAAGAAGGTAATAATCATGCTGTCTATGTTCTGGACCTATGATGTTGCCTATGGCAGTTCACTAGGTTTTGAAACAGAGCTCTCCTCTAAAAACTCCATTATACCAATAACATCCAAACGACTGACAGTTTGACTTCATTGTTGCTTCTTGCTATGTTTCTATATTTTTTAGAGCTTTACTCTAAAAACTATACCAATATTATCTAAACGGCTGACAGCTGAACTTCATTGTAGTTTCTTGCTATGCTAAACACTTCTAGATAATGTGAAAATTAACAGAACCAACAATCTGTGACCCTTTTAAAGTGTTGACAGAGAGGAAGTTATTCTAGAGCTCTGTGGCGCCCTCCTCCTCCAGTGGGGGGAACTTACTTAGGTTGAAGTAAGGGGTTTGTGGCATGACAGAGAAGGCAGGGGATTGGGGTAGGGCCTCACCACCAGCAATCGGAGGGGGGCTGATGGGACCCCCATCCATTTCCTCAAACGCTTCCCTGTAGCTGTGCATGTGTCTCTGGAGAAAGAAGGACAGGTGGACACATATCCAAATACATGAACACACATACATCCACACTGATTTCTGAGATTAATACAAGGAGTAATGCAAGAGTGTCCATGCAGTCTACCTCCTTGGGCCGCCCCCCAGGGTTCATAGCAATGGTATTGGCCAGCTCGGGAGAGATGCAGCGGATGGGGGAGCGGACCGAGTTTCCTCGGGTTGGGCTCTCGTCTTGGGAAAGGCCTTCACTGAGGGTCCGGCACCATCCAGGAACCGAAGCCTCATCTAGTGACATTTCACCAGACTGAACTCCTGCCAAGAAGAAATATATATATGACGTCATCCCTAATAGATAACTTTCAGGGCCTGCAGAAGAACATTTATCATACTTGAAAATAAAAAATATCCAAATGTCAAAATATTCCTTGAAGAAATCCATGGAAAACTGCCAATGAGCTCTTAAGAATGAACTCTCTGTCAAAAGCTGCACTGACGTCCAATTCGCACCACATAAAAGCCTGTTGGAACTACAAACAACGTTCTCATTCAAACAGCCTAGATTACAAAAAGCTGGAATATTAGAGAAACTCCATGGATTTAAAGGGTAATGTGTACTTCAGGATAAAGCTCTGGAACAGCCTCAAAGCGACTCCGAAGCCTATTTCATCATGTTCTGTTTGATACCAAGAGTCTCTACGGTGTAAATAAAACTGGATTTGTGTAAGTCTTCTCTAGTAGGGAGGGGAAAAACAGAGAACAGAAATGGATAACTAAAGGAGTTTGGTAACTGAAAGCAGATGGAATGCACCTCAATGACGTTCACAAAAATCACTATTATAATTGATTCATTTATCTATTCAGTGACGGTAAATCATAATAACCATAATAGTTCGATCTTATTAAAATCTAATTGGTTTTACCCAACACCTGTGTATTTTTATCTAATTTATCTAATAGGGAGTCAAAAATAGCAATAGAAATAAATAACATGAATGATTCCCGAAATACATGCTACTACTTTTCTAAGCAGAAAGACTTTCCCATAGAATTAGATACTTTAAATGTGCGCATGGTAACAGTCTGCAATGTATCATGGTGTGTGCTATCACTGTCAACTTACAGATAAGGAAAATAGCTTTTACAGGTTCTGTGAAAGCATGTACAGCCACACACAGTTTAAAGCTCATTCAACTGGACGCAGTTTTAGAGCGAGCAAAGCATTAATACATTCTGGTGGGAGTGACTGGAATATCATAGAAACCGGGCAACAGGCTGAGCAAAATATTTACTTGCTCCCTGAGCACATCCTACGATTGATACGTGCGGTCAGACCACAGCTCAGACCACCAGAACCTCACGTGCGCTGGGAAACAACTTCAGAGAGATTGACCACTTCCACTTCTGAACAAGGGGCCACCCTTGCTCTTAAACGTGACGTTAGCCGGACATCCAGGTTGCATTTAAACCACTTCTGGAGTGCTGCCCACAAAACGAGCGGTTCAGAACAATAGGGTAGTGATGTCACAAAAGGAGATTCTTCAAAAGGGCTCGCGCACACCATCTGCAATCTATTCACATTCCTGGATTAGACTCACGCGGTTTCTACGACAATGTCAAACATTCAAATTCCAAAACTGACTGGTCTGGGAAGCGATGAATCCAGCACTTGGATGTGCAGGGATATCATATGGTCTATATCCCCCAGTGTCACTTCAGACAAGGTCGGGAGAGGAAACATGCAAAACAGATGTAGTGCGCCAGATCTACAGCTGTGCATGACAAACTGTGCTGTTACCTTAGTGATCACACTGTCCTAATAGATTCAAACTGCTCTAACTGTGAGGATTTATTACACTTTGTCCTTCATCTAAATGCTAAAACAGAAGTAAAGGAAAGTCCTTGAATGAAGCCAGTGTCTGCTCGTCTTGGTATTGTTCCCCAGGTCTGGTAGACTGGATCTTGTGACATGGGCTCAGTTAATCCAGACAGACTGGCCGTTGTCCTGCAACTGTGTAACTTTAACTCGTCACATAATACAAATGCAATTTGTTTGTAGAGGTCACCCAGCACAAAGGAGCAAACTGAAGTAATACACTTGTTAACTGTTATTTCACCCAAACAAGGTGAAATTCCAGCACAGTTTAGTGGTTAAGGAAGAATGTTAAATTAGTGAGATAAAGGAGAGAAATAAAAACAGAGGAAATAGTGATAGGAAATGGAGAATTTTTTTCTTCCTAATCACCATTACAGTACATTCACACGGGGCATCAGCTTCAATGCCTCTCGTTTACTTTGAATGGAGTGACCAAGCGTTGCTGAACTGAATTGTGGGTCTGTTGCATTGCATCACTGGCGTTGCTTGTGGCAGAAGTTGAAAACTTTTCAACTTTTCAAGTGCCAACGCAGGTGTCAGCCAATCAGATCGCCCTATGCAAATACCCTAGCGCAGACGCTAGCCAATCGCATTCATGCAACAACAGAAAAGTAGTGTGATTGGCTGTTGTCACTATGATGGTCGCGTTAGCACCAAGCTTCAGACACGCCCTCCGACACGCCCTGTGTGAATGTACTGTTACTTGCCACAGTTTACTCCTTTAAATTAAAACTAAACTAACCTAAAATTAAAACTATCACATTTACTCACCCTCATGTCGTTCCAAACCTGTATGCCTTTCTTGATATGTGGATCACAAAAGAAGATTATTTTTATGATTGTTTCAACTTATTTCGTCAATACTACAGAAATAAACAGGGTCCAAAACAAAATTGTACCCTATTGTCTTTCAAAATATCTTCTTTTGTGTTCCGAAAGTCATACAGGTTTGGAACAACATGAAAATGGGTAAATGATGACAACTTTCATTTTTGGGTGAACTATGCCTTTACATTTACTTAAGTTCACACTCTTTTTAATTTAGATTTTACTTTATTATTTTATTTTATCCAATTAGAATTTAGTCATCTTTTTTATAATAACAATTACAAGTACAATATTAATAAAATAAAATAAATTACCATTTAAAAAATAACTGGCAGTTTTATAAAAGCTAGTATTCTTATTGACAAAAAAAAGAGCAGGGAAAGATAGGGGGCGAAAGCGAGAGAGAACAGAGAAATAGCACACAACCACACAACATGCACAGGTGTTATGAGTTAATGTCAGTGGGTGGCACAGAGCATCAGAGAGACCAACCACTGAAGGAGAAAGAGCAGCGGCGGTGACCGAGCTCAGGAGCATTCCGTTTGCCACTTATGCCTCGGATACGAGCAGTGTACTCTGCATACCATCGGGAGGAGAAGGAAGAGGAGGAGGAATGATGGACCGTGGCAGGACGTAAAGGAAGAAGGTGAAGAGGAGGAAGGGAAGGTGGAGGTAATGATGAGATGGGTGTTCCACAGACAGGATAAACATGAGAATTGAGAAAGGGGGGGGGGGGGGGGAAAAAAATGGACA